CACGAGGTGGCCGCTTCGGCGTAGTTTCAGTTGTCTCAGCATAGCGTAGATACTGAGGATTGCTGATAGAAGCGAACAGGCGAGTTCCAGATAGCAGTTCCGAAGATGAAGATGCGATCACTGGAACAAGAAGTTTATTTGCCTGACGTTTCGGATTCTCGCTCGAATCCATCATCAGAGACATTCGCAGATAAAGGTCTCTGAGTGAGAATCCGAAACGTCAGGCAAATAAACTTCTTGTTCCAGTGATCGCATCGTCATCTTCTATACTGAGGATTCCCGTCCGCTCCAGCACATCCGTGTCGGGAATCCAGTCGTGCCACCTCAGCTTCAGAATCCGACGAAGACAACTGAGATGTAAGTGGTTGAGTCTACGTGCCTGCTTCATGTACACCGTCCAAGTCTCCCATACAGCAACGTCGGTAGAATGGCGACCTTGTACATCTTCAGCTTCGTGCTGAGTTGAAGACCGTAACGAATCCAAACAGTGTTTTGAAGACGACCGAAGGCTTGGTTGGCCTGGGCAATCCGGTGGGCCACTTCACCGTCGATTTTGGTGCTGTCCAGATACGAGAAGTTGTCCACCACTTGCAGCTGGGCACCGTTCACGCAGATGTTGGGTGCGACGTAGGCAATGACAGGTGGCGGTTGACGCATAACCACCGTCTTCTCCGTGTTGATGATCAGGCAGAAGTTGTCGCAGGCGGCGGCGGTGGCTGCGAAGAGATATATCCTTTTTGCATCTCCCTTTCCGAGGTAACGTTGAGGATGCAGTCGTCAGCGAAGAGAAGTTCTTGGACGGTGTTTGTGGATACGCGCGACTGGAAGTGCATCCGTCGGCGGTTAAGGAGTTGGCCGTCCGTCCTGTATGCGATGAGGATCCCAGGGCGTTCGTCACGGTAGGCGTCCATCGGCATGGCAGAGAACATGAGACTGAGGAGGGTAGGCGCGAGGACTCAGTTCTGCTTCACGCTCTTGATCACTGCGAATGCATCTGAGACAGCTCCGTTGTCCGTGACTCGTGCCATCATGTAGTCGTGGAGCTGAAGCAACATCTCAGTGAACCGTTAGGGACAGCCGAATTTCTGTATGATTTTCCATAATCCTTCACAATTCACCGTATCGAAGCCTTTCATCGGATCCACGAAGGTAGAGTAGAGGTGGGTCCGCATTTCCTGACAGTTCTCCTGCAGTGTGCGTACGGCGAAGATCATGTCCGTGGTTCCACGATGACGGCGGAAGCCGCACTTGCTTTCCGACAGGAGTCCTTGTTCCAGATGGTGGTTAAGGCGGTTGAGACGGATGCGAGCAAAGATCTCCCTGATGATGTTGGGCAGGGAGATGCCTCGATGATTGTCACAGAGCTGGCGATTTCCTTTCCGCTTGTATAGATGCACGATTGTGGCGTCCTTGAAATCTTGCGGGACTTCTCCTTGACGCCACATCTCCTGGGAGAGCGCCCTCAGATGATCCATGAAATGGGGTCCACCGTGCCTTTAGATCTCAGCAGGGATCGCGTCCGATCCGGACGCTTTCCCACTGGACAGCTGCTGCACGGCCCTGATGGTTTCGTGGAGAGAGGGCGGTAGGTCGAGGTCGGCGTTGGTCTCCATTTGAGGCATACGGGCGGGGGCGGCGTCGGAGATTGTGGAGGGACGGTTGAGGACGCCTCTGAAGTGCTCGGCCAATTCCTGTATAATTTGTGTCTTCTCAATGAGTAGGGTGCTGCCGTCGGCACTGAGAGGAGGAGCAGTTGCTTTAGTTGGCGGACCATGGACAGCTTTTCTCACGTCGTAGAAGTTCGTCCATTCGTTGAAGTTCGCGTACCCTTGGATCTCCTGAGCCTTACGAACTGTCCAGGCCTCCTGCATCTCCCACAGCCGCCGTTGCACAAGGCGGCGATTGCGGTAGAAAACAGCTTTGTTGTCATCGGTGCAGGCGGTTCATTTTGATGAGCAGGTTTCTGATGGCGGCATCGTTGTAATCGAGCCAGTCCTGGTGTTGACGACGTGCGCAACCGAGGACGCCAGGACCTTCGACTGCCCCGCAGTGGACACCATCGGTTCTCCACGGAGGTTGTCACATCAGCGGCGGCGACGACGACGACAGCAGACAGGGCAGGGGTCCCACGTTGTCGTTCTGGATGGCAAAGGCGACACCCGCGTCCCGTCGCTCTGCCTTGGGTCGACCGCTCCAGAATAAGGTGTAGCCGGCACCCACCTCATCCAGTTGGCCTTGTTTGGAGAACCGGCTCTCGCTGGGTGTAGCGAAGTCCACCTTGTAGAGCGCCAGTTCACAGGCCACTAGCGCCGTCCTTCGTTCCGGTCGGTTGATCCTCGGATTGCCTAGAAGGGAACGAACATTCCAGGCTGCCAGAGTGAGCAGACTTACCCTACTAGTCTAGCGAGTGGGGCTGCGGGGAGGGGGAGGGGGACGAGAGTGTGTTGTTTCTGATTTCGCTGTAAGCTGAAGGGGGGGGGGACGGAGGGTATGGGTGGGTAGAGAGACGGGATGCAGTGCTCTCCCGTCATTCTCTAGGTTAACTGGTTGCCGAGATATAAGCGGTGAGTTGGGTGCCGGAAAATGAACGCCAGGCGTAGTTTACACCTGCAAGCAGCTGAACGATCTACTGCGTCCGTCACGTAAACCCACCGCTGGACACCCCTACACCACCCCGTCTGGACCGACCAACCTGTCCTTAACGTACATGCACATGTGTCCCACACTAAGGACGCCGGAGTACGCCACTTTCGCAATGACTAATTGGACCTACGTGGTTAGTAAAAACTGCAAATGAACCTTCTGGGATTGGACTGTGCTACTTTGCCTATGACGTCCTCCCCAATGGCAATGGGCCGAAAGGTCATAGTTACGACCCAAAATGATTATCGGAAGGACAGGATTTGGAAGTGAATGGACGAATGATTCTGTAAGGGAATTAATGTGCCGATTATGCAACCTGATAAAGATACCGCGCACGTTTGGGCAGCTGTTCGGAGCTCAGGAGCAAGCAATATGATTTTCTTGGATAAGAAATTAAATAGTTTACGCTGGATGGAGGTGCTGTAGTTGCCTCTACTGTCAATGTTGTCAAGCCTTTCAGTTTCGTTGATGCCGCTCCCCCCGAGATTTCAAAAGTTGCCACAGTATCAGCTGCCCCCTGGGTCAGTTTGGTTCTCCCAACCTAAATCTTCTAGAGCACTTTTAAGACCGTTCAAAGGTTGGTTCTCAGACCGTCGACGTGTTCCCTGCCCAGATCCGCTCTTTCGAATGCCTGAACTGTGGTAGAACAAAAAAATGTCATACCTAATCTGCAGCATGCCTCGTCTGGTTGGAGCTTTAATTCTACATAAGTGTTCGTCTACCCGATGAGTTACTTTCACTCTTTGGCTTTTGCTCAACTTCCTTTGAAGTGGCCTGATAGGAAGTAAAACAAGGCATCGATGCAATATGCGACCCCACTCAGAATGCGGAGGATAGGTCATCGTGTCTTACGGGACCGGTGGAAGTAGGGGTACATGGGTGGGGTTAATGGATAGGAAAGAGAGCTGCGAAAAAGGATGTAGTTTGGAAAAATGCTCTAATTCTGTGAATAGGTTCCAACAGATTCGTGCATGACCTTGAAAACGACCCGCAAAATTGAATAATAGCGAAATTTAACACCAAAAAACCAAAGGAAGCTAAATATAGCGCCTGCATAATAAGCCCCCAAGTCCGAGACCAAGACAGCGAAACAGCTAATAGAAACTCAAGGACGAATAAGCCCGTAAGAGTAAAGTAGGAACTCTGACCCAACGGCACGACATAATGACGCAGAAGAGCGGAACACAGGGAAGCCGCCACGGTGGTCAGCAAAGGTAAGGTATATCAAATTTGAGGAGAATGAATTGCTCACCGGATCGGGGGACTTTTCTGGCTGACGTTTCGAAGAGCTGGGGCTGCTCTCCATTGGCGTGTATACCAACCGACGAATAAGCTGAATGTGATATTTAGGCGAAAATTCGTTATCTTGAAATAGCCAATCAGTGCGCCCAAATTAAACAGCGCCTCTTTCGTAAGAATCAGTGGGCAGTAATAAGTAATATGCAAATTTGGGTTGCATATTGCGTCCTTTCCTAAACCAAATTTAAGAAGCGCACGACTATGACTTGGCTGTCACTGATTTGCGGCATTAACTAGGGATGGGTCCATTTTTGACCAACAGTGTGTACTTCCGTATGCTGTTCTACTTGCCCTCCTGTGACACAGAGTCAGCCCCAGCACCATTTCTAAACTGAATGAAAAAAGTAGTCGAGGAAGTAGCGTATTACGCATTTTTACTTGTAAGGGCGGGCACCATGACTAATTTAGACGATCACATATTGCAGGCTGACTCCACCTCGGATCCTCGTCTTTGACTATAGGCGATCTTCGGCAGACCAACAGGGACAAGATCTGGCCGCTTAGTATGCAACCATGAGAATCATAAACTTCGTCGTTAGAAGCTTGCTCTAAGTCAGCCTTAACTGCGCCCTCCTTCCATGTAGTCAGTTGACCATGTCGACGCCGTTGTCATAAAGTGAGACACTCTAAAGAATTTTTGTTCTGTAAAAGTTCGCCAACACACCTGAGCGGTGCACAAACAAACCATCTGGTGCAAACGAAAATGTAAGTCGCAGGACGTGGTTGAGAAGGAGATGCGGTTGCCATTTGAGGTGTCATCTGGGCAGAAGAGTTTGAAAGACATGTGGTGATCAGCTGCGACCCATGTAGTTTCTTCCCTCTCGCCCTGTACAAGTCTCCCGTGCTACCTTATCTGAACTTTGCTGCTCTTCTCATCCACGAATCTTTTTCTCATGGAATACTCACGCCTGCACCCCAACGGAGCATCTGCCAACAGAGGATGACCGCTCCAGTTATTCTTCACCCCTTCTGTAGAGACTACAATTCTCCTTCCGCTGGTGTCTAACTTCTCTCCCTAACCGAGAAATGGCATGTTGTCGTACTAATTAGAGTCTGCTGCCCTTAACCGTAGCTGTTGTATCAGACGTAGTTAACCCATTGTGATCACGACCGATGGTGCAGCCGTTCGTTGGGAGCACGATCGGTGCGTGAACAGGGGGGAGGGAGCACAAACACCAGTGCTCGAGACGTTCAGGTGAGGAGCGGATATCTTCTCAGCAAGTAAACAACGGAGACTTACAGAAATCAACTCATCTATTACTAATGTAATCGTGGACATTGGGAATTATGAGGGATACCAAAGTTTGTCTGGTAGTTTGTGACCCTAAGCGCCGGACTTTGGGGGGTTCAACTTAATCGGCCCAACTTCCAAACCCCCAGCCAATCTGACGTGTGGTGGGCCAGTTGTGATAGACTGGCAATACTCAAGCCTCCTACGTTCGCATATTTTGCCGTAGTTACTTCTGGAAACCAAGCGGCATGATACGGGAATAGGTGGCCGCCGCATTGCAGGTGGTCCTGCGCTAAACCTCAAAGGGTACCTGTTCTCGTGCTCAACGCCTGACCCTAGCCCTAGTCCTAACCCTCCCAACCCCAACATCCCCTGGAATTCACCGTAAGGCCGCCTGCAACACACAGGTCCGTATTCCCGTGTCGCACCTACTTTTGGACACAAACCGACGTAACAAGATTTTTTTCACGTCCTTCTACGTCGAAAGCTACCGGCGAGTTTTCATGCAATTAGTGAACTGTCGTCTGGACGCAGGTCGGACGAGTGATATCAATATAAACGCCCATAAAAACACTCATCCTGATAAGTGCGATAACGGAGGTTATTCCAGTCAACAGCCTCTTTCTGTCATGGCTTTCAGGTAACGTGCAGTTGACGAATTTTTCTTCGAAAAAAAATAGGCAGAAGTAGCGGGCAAGCGTTCAGCCCAGTTATACATTTGACTTAGTTTGCCTCTGCACCAATAAGCTTAACGAAAGGAGGATTTACATCAGCCAAGAAGAGAGTGACCTGAAGCATTTACCAGTTGTACAATCCTAAGTGTCTGAAATTCCACCAACTAATGGTCTAAACCCGGTATTTGAGAAATGAAAAGGGCTTCTTATTTCTTGAATTGTCAGTCCGAACCTCACAGCATTCCCAATCTAAACCCAGTGTTAGTATCCAAGAGTTATTGAGGAAAAAAACAGTGAAACACACTGTTGTGATTTGATTTGGCTTGACTTTTAAAAGGGGTGCCATATTTGAGGGAATTGGTTGAATTCGGCAGAACCAAATACGGTTTTAGGAAAGATGTAAACCCTCCGGGCAATGGAGTAGTCAGCTAAGTGCAAACTTGTTAGTAAGTGTCTTTCCATCCAACGCGCATCAATCTTCTTTACGAGACGGACTTGGACTTATTGGATTGTAGAGAGAAAACATTGCTCAGCAGCGGTCTCACCCTTCCCGCACTATCAACATACTCCAAGACAACTAGGCGCAAGGCCTGTCTCAAAATGTGTTTCTTTCTCGTGCCAGGCTTACCATATCGTTGCAGTTTAAGCCATCAGCTGACCTTCAGGTCAGGTTCTGAATAGGAAGATGTGAAGTCAGAGGCCAGTAGATAGGGCATTGTATTCCGCGTAAAGTGATTTGATTGTAGGTTGTAGGCAGCTGACAGCTGGACGAGGACAGACGTCAAAAAGCTTTGGGCGAGAGCTTGTCTGAGTTAGCCTCGAAATTGAATGACCGGTTTGAATAGCTGGGATGGACCGTGAACCAGACCGACATTGGTACACACGTGCCAGTACGCGCGAGAAGCACAACATTTCAGCGGGTGTCCGGGGTAAGGCCTGTGCAACCCCGCCAAGATGATCATGCCTTTGGGAACGGCCTTAAAAGTCAGTTTAAGATGATCCCATTGCCACCTCCCGCTGTCAC